CCCCCAGTCAAAGCCTAGCAAATTGACTATTCTGAGAGTTGATTTGAGTCTTCTTTTCCCCTCTCAACGGATGTGGGAGAAGGTCATGTTTTGAAGAATCTTTCCCAGCGCCGTGGAGGACCTAGATCCTGGTATTACTGGAGAAGCGCAAGAACGGCTCAAATCCCCTTTTATCGATCCGACCGGCGTTGAGGGGCAATAAATCTGAGGTGTATAATGCAACCCCTCGCTAAGACACGGCAAAAGGGTAGGGATAAAAACGCACTGGTTGGGGCCGTGGCCAATATTTTTTCCACTTCTACTCCCAACTTCTCCGTTATTTGCTGGTCCTCCTACCGAAACTTCTTTTGTCAGACTACGGTCTTCCTATGTCAGCCTACGCCTGGTGGCACCGACTGTAAGGCAAACTGGAAGACACACGCCTTTCTGACTAGCAATGATTCAAGCACTCGTATCGGGTTACTCTGCAGTATTGTTATTATGTCGAGATCTAGTTTGGCCCATGTGCTTTATTCAGGGTAGATCCTATTGAGTGCCACCCCCGGTGTTGCTTGTCCGATCATCTGGCGGATCCGAGGATATAGGGTCAGGCTTTGAGGAATTCTCAGCGGAGTTCTGTCGCATGGGAGGGGATCGTATTCGGAGAAGCCCTTTGACGCAGCTGAAAACTTCTATTCCTTGTTGTTTTCATTCAGTAAAACTAGAGGGCGTGGGGGTCGTGCTAACCCGCTTTTGAGGAGGTTGTACCGAGGGGCCCATTTTCCTCAGCGTGATGCTTGGCTCTGTTCAGAGAGACAGAGGGACGAGTTACTATTGTCGAATTCTGCAGGTGCACTTTCTAAGTGTGTATAAGAGGACCTGATATCGAGGCATAAACCTTTTTGAGCCCTGTAAACCCTGCAAACCTGCAACAACTCTTCATCGGTCATAATTTGAAGAGAGTTTCGTCAATAAATCTCAAATTCAAGTTGATTGCCTTGTTTCTAGTTCCAATGGGGTAGAAAAATGACATTTACAACGATGGTGGGCTCGGTATCAAATTCCTTTCCAGAACCATACTGTAACATTGAAAAAAACCTGCAGTTTATTTTGAAACAAGTCGCCATCGATAACATTGTCGTTTGACTTTCCTACAATATTTCCATCAGTACTTGTCATTTACAGTAATTCGCTGAACATTTTCTGCATGATTGGTTGATTCGAATTCTTTGCAGAGATAATGATTGTGACATCTACAACGTGACCTTTTCAACATAATTACTTTTGTATGATTGATGCTTTGTTAAAAATGCTCTCACTTCTCTAAGTAACTGATCTATGAAATCGTACAAAAGTCGCAGTACCATGTATACAGTTTCGCAGAGCGGGCGGACGTTGCTGAGGATGATGATAATGGCGATGATTCAGTCGTCAAATTTGAATTCATTGGCCTGATGGTGCAATTGCGTGGCGTTTGTGAATTCCCTGACGACAGATAGTCCAGTTTGACTGGCTAGCTAGAGCTGGAGGGTTGCAGCAGTACGAGTTACAACTCATCTCCCTGGAGGCTCGTCCAACTACACTGGCTGCTATCGAGAAATACTTAGTCGGCGATCGGATTCCATATGCACAACGACTTCAACGAGTGAGAGAGAGAGAGCACTTCGACTCGAGTACACTACTATTCATTCGCTTGAACAGGCCTGTGTTTGACTGCGTCTACAGCAACCATTTCAGCAGCATACTGCGCAGCTGCGGTGAGCGAGCGGCATTGGCGCCGTGGCTACCGCGCCATCGTCGGGTGCCTCGTCACAACCGGTCTGGTTAGTTAACCGATGATAACGTGATTGATTCCTACAGCACCTGCCACATTTCGACACTCACTGTTACCTTTTTCTCGGTGGGACTGCTGGTCAATCTGGTTCAGTAGACGATTTAGAATGGATTATAATAGCTCTATTTATTCAATCTGTCTTCAGTTCTTTACCTCTCTATGAGAAGCTTTTCGCTATTCCATACGGCTGTACAGCTGTGTCCTCCCATGCAATTATACATATTGTTATGTTCTAAGCGATAATTTCGGCTATTGTTTCCTTTCCTCCAGCCCGTCGCTTGGCGTTCGATTTGTCAGCTGCACACCAGATGCATGGGCAGAAGCAATGTTTGTTTTTTGCCTGGGCTAGAAAATTCCAGAGGTCGAAAAAGGGCTTGGTGATAGATCGGCCGAAAAATGATCGTGGAACACGATAATTTTTACCAGAATACGGCCACTTTTCCCTTTCGGCGAACATCTGCAAAAACGTTTTACTAGAACTTCCCGTAACAAGTTGTCGAGAGACCAAGAGTTGCGGCCTGCTAACTCAAGTGTTTTCCGTTCTTAGTCAAGCTGAAGGTCAAGGAGCATGGACTACCGATAAAAAGGCAAAGATTCCACCAATCAGATGGACTCTCCGAAATACTTTGCTAGGAGGGAGCAGTTCAGCTTGGGAGGCAGGATATCCTTTGTAAGCTCCTGCAAATTCCTACTCCTGCAAACCTACGAAATGTTGCGAATTTTCACTTTCAAACCACTTTTACCCAGTTTAGTTGACCCACTGTGGAACTCCGTCCCCTCTAGGCACGATCTTCATCCTTTGGCTCGTAGTCATTTCTCTGTACTTTCCTGTGATAATACCAAATGTCGTCTAATGCAAGAAAAAAAAATAAGAAATAGCGTGGGAATACATTTTGTACCTCGTCTAATAATCTCCACGTTTTCCCTTGTTGTAACCTCGGCATGGTGTCGAATGTTAAGTTGCTTCTGCCAAAACGAGGTTTTTAGGTGAACCTTTTATTGGCCTAAGTTTCGACCTTCTCGTCTTCTTCAGAGGCCGAAGGTACCACCGTGCGGAGACCAGCTCTCGCCGTCTGTTAGTTGGATTAGTAAGGATTCGTCCCCCTCTGAAGAAGACGAGAAGGTCGAAACGTTAGGCCAATAAAAGGTTCACCTAAAAACCTCGTTTTGGCAGAAGCAACTTAACATTCGACATTTTGTACCATTGCGAAGCTCTATAGAACTCCCAGGTTTGCGAATTGGCCTACGATAAAGGCAAGTGGCACGATAAATTGGGGAGGAATACAGGTTCGATACGCATGACACGGAGGAATACCATGCTCTTGCAGGCGCTGCTTGGCGCCTTTTTTAAGCAAGTGCATCTTTATAGCGCCTAGCCAATAAGCAACATGCCCACCCGGACGCCCACTGCAACTGCCCGCCCGCAAATGATCGTACAGTCACCGCTAGAACCCTGCTACCCTTCTCGCTAAATATATTTAAAATTCGATATAGAGCGTTGGTACATGGATGTATGAATACATCGTGAAACCGTCAAAGTCGTCACGTCGCTGGCACGATGCCAGTGTGGAACTCGTCCAAATGCTTGTCCAATGCCGTGCAGCACAGAGATTTTTCGCAGGTTTTTGGCCATTCAATTTCGCTTTTTCTTCATTCTCGCACTATATAGCACCCCTGCCACTATTTCTGAGCAAGTACCAATTATCGTGCCTCATGCCTTTAGGCATTACCTGTCGTTGAACAATGTGCAATTATTGATTGTATTCAGGCGCTACCTTTTGTTGAAGCTTTGTCCCCTGGAACGTACCTGCGCATTGTCGTTGCGTTGTTCTCCAGTGAGGCGTGCCTAGCGTCACAAGACGTTGTGTAGCGCCCGCCAGGAGAGTTGAGTGTGCGAATTCGATTCGAGCTTTGTTTTTCAGCGAGTACTAGCCATGCATATTATTCTTCTCATGCATGCTGTGGAGTTATCGACAACTAGCTTTCATCTGTTCGGATATTTTCCGTGGAACGGCCGTCAGTAAGCAGCTGACCACGTGTGCGGGGGTAACTAAATTTTCACCCACTTACTCCACTTCTGAATCGAATTTTTCATCTCGTTGATGAATCTGGTTTTGCATTTTAGTCGATTGAACTCGTTTATCTGAAGTTCCTGTCTAGGAGTAATTGTTCCAAGTATTTGTATGATGGAATTTGTGCCTATGTTGTCAGTTTCTATTAAATGTTGACGGGTTGAAGCGCACTGGAACTTTCTCGGACTGAAGAAAATTTGTCACTGAACGCTGAACAAGTGCTCGACAATGTTAACGTCATCGTCGACGCCATTGTCATGGGCTAGGCTGTCATTTCGAATCCCAATCTACGCCTCTAGGACTCATTGTCGTTCAGACGCAATCTCTGATGTTTGGACGGATTTTATTGCCCAAACAGTTGCCTTCCTATGCTATATGTACCCTGAAATTGCTGAAATTCGACGGGTTTGTCGCCTTCAACATCCCTCACTTTACCTCAGAACTCTTAAGTGACCTAAGGAATTCATTTCTCGAGTTTCGAAGTTCATTCCAGGAGACCTTTTGCAGAACTATGGCCAATTACTTCGCCATTTTTTACCGTAAACCTTCACATGATTCATGTCACATGTTTTCACGTCACCTGAGGTAAACCATTTTAGTCATTTTCTCGAAGAGTCTCGAATTGGACGTTCAAGAAAGATTCCAAGCATAGGATGAAGTGTACGCATAGCAAGATCATCCCCCCTACGTGGAAACTAATCACTACTCTGAAAAGCCTACTACGTGGGCGCTGTTGTTACGGTAACAGGGAACGAAGGGGGAGCTCTAACGCGAGTGAGACTAGGCACCTCACTCTCACACTCAGTCAATCCGCTCCCTCCGCCCCACATCTTTGCACACTCTCCTCTCAATGCATGCATACATCGCCCTAACACTTATCATGCGACTTGTGATGACCATAACCTCCTCCATTCGTCGCTCATAAGAAGTGACTAGGTTTTTCTGGACTTCTACTCGTCATTCTGTTCCTTTGGGAATTTCCTTAGAGCCTTCGGAACTCCTGTCACATCTCTTCATAAAGCAAACTGCTTGTTCAACTTTTCCACTTGCCGAGTATGCTCGTCATTTATTGTACTTTTAGTGTAAAGTCTAACTAAACCACTGTTGTTTTAGCCATGGCGGTGGGTAACCTGCTGGTCGCCACCTTATTAATACCGTTAACGATTACAACGTTTATTCATGTGAGTTTTCGCTCTCATTATTCTTGATTTTCTCAGTACTTTCATAACTCTACCACTCACGAGTAGGAGTAAGTAGGGTCACGCGCTATTCGTTTCTCTTGCCTTCCAATACCGCACGCTTGTATTTTATTATAGGAGGTGAAAATAGCGTAGATGAGACATTGGCCAACGATTGCGAGCCTCGGCAAACTTCATAAAGTCCGCAATTTCTCGTCAATACACGCGCACAGATTGCAGTCGCGCTTACATTATGTTTGCCCGCGTTGACATCTGAATTCGATTGCGCATCGCTGCGACATTTTAATTCTGCGCCTCCTTTGCGAACTTTGTGTACGTGCACGACGGCAAAATGGGCTATGTAACGCGCGTAGATCGCTGGGTCCACAGACTTGACGCCATGTACTGAATAAGAACCCATGGGCGACTATTTTTGCATCATTGTTGGGACTTCTCATCCCCTTCCTTGAATAGTTGACGAGGGGGAGTCGCCCTGGGTTGTGGGCGCTCTGAAAATTGAAGGTTCAGGGGAGAATGGGAAGATTTATTACTGTTTTTGGAGGAGCAGATGCTTCTTCCGTCCCTAGTGAACGTTTTTTTATCCTAAAGAACTTGGGAAAGTGGAAGTGGAGTTAGGCTGAGTACGGCATTTAGGTTTGAGGAGGGTCGTGCTAACACACCGTACATCATCGCTATGCGAATTATGGCCGCTGTCGTGACCGGGGGAGTGGGGGGGGGTCGCATTTGGCACTGAGAAAATTTTCTCCCTTTTGTCAATTCCGTACTTTACTTAACCATCCATTGCGCTTTTGTTGATTTTTCCTATTTCACGCGCTACACCCCTCCCCCTCGACACGATATAAAATCTTTGGGAAAGTTTAGTGCAGTAGTAGATAACTTCCATATCCCGGAGACGTGGAGGGCGTGGCTGTGCGCTTCATTCAGACGTGGCGGTGGCCTCACTTCTGATAGGATAATGCTGTTTCGAGACAGTTGTAGTGACATGATGACAGCTGTCTCAGACCGAAATATCCTACGAAGAAACGCGTTCCATTCCTATTAAGTGCACAGCCACACCCTCCCCATCTTTTGGACAAGGAGGGTGGATTGTTGTATGAGGGGTACCGCTTCGACAGAGGGTTCCATTGACACCGCCATTTCACCCATCCGTATGACGTCCTGAATGTTGAATCACGGTGACGCGTAGCTGTAGAGAGCCGTTATTTCCGGTGTTCCGTACAAATCGTGCTAAATTGCTGCGCCTTCATGACTCATCTGGTTTTTCTTCACAAATACTAAATCATTGACTGACTGGTAAGCGCTCGCAAATAACCGGCAGATTGGTGCAGTAGCTTTTAGTAGGAAATTGGACCATCACATTCGTAAATTGGCCAGGTCTAATAAAGCCTTAGCATTGTCCTGGTGAACCTACTATGTACGACTTTCATGCGAAACACGAAGTGTAGGTGAAAAATATCATGTTTTCCGATAGAAATTGAATAAAAGGCGATGTGAGTGACAGACGGACGCTAATCAACTGTTTTTAGGGTGTTGCAGCGAATATTGACGGAACGTCAGCGAAGAAGCACGAAAAATTCGTGCCATTAGTCGCTTTTGAATGTGGTTATCGTAACAAGTATATGAATGAGGACGGTTTATGGACCAGCGATGAAAACCGATACGCCACTTGTCTCAGTGGAAAACTGGACATTCTTAAATATTGCAAAAAGGTGAACTATTCAATTTAGAGTTATTGATTATGTTACTCGACAGGACCAGGTCATTACTGCGGCAGGTACACTCTAGATCCTGGAGATGAGGAGGGCGTGGCTGCATACTCCTTTGAAGGTAGCATTTCTAACAAGATACTGCCGTTTTGGAGAATCGGAATTGTGCCTTGTCCAGTTAAGACGGTGTGACAGTTGTCTCACTTGGAAGTATCCCATAAAATATCCCATATAAAAAACACATCCCTAGCCATGTCCAAATGAAGTACGCAACCACACCCTTTCCATGTTCGGGGTATGGATCGTACATTTCCTAAAAACATCGTTCTACTAGAAAAATGATAACTGTGTAAGCAAGATGTCCCTCTTACGTCAATGTTTATTATCTTCTAATGTTTTCTATCTTCTTATGGGCTTCAGTGTTACTTATCTGATCATGGTAATTACGACTATGTGTTTTCCCGTCTTTCTGAAATCCATTCAGCTCGGCTAAGCGGAAGCCAGTGAGTTTGGCATAAACATCGACACCCCGATCTTAGTGAAGCTAATGCAGTTGCTTGAATTTGAAAGAGTGGAAGGGTGGAATGCATATCGCCCCGAATGCTAACAGAAAGCGCATGCGAACGACGGCCCCGGGGAATTCTCTGGGGACTCGTCCACTTGTTCCTCAAGTCCAACACTCGAATTCGATATTGTCCGCGAGTTACGATTATATATAAAGGAATAGGCGAGTCATGCGGCTGTGGAAGTGGTTTTCAGGGTTCTGATGGACTGGGCAGTATATCATAGTTGCTGACGTATCCCTGAGTGTGGGCAGAGAAGGTGTAGTGGCAAGTGGCACGCTTAACGCATGGGCGTTCCAGAGCTTGAAGCCCAGATCGGCTCCCGCCCGTGCCATCCACGCCTTTTACCGTGGACGGCAAATTAGAACCAGATTCTTCTAAGTGGACAAGAACCCTGGCGTGTACATCGACTGACTCCCGAAAGTCATTGTATTGGCCGCATCCCATTCAATAAGATACGCTCTACGATCGTGTCTGGAAGATGAATGCGTGGCGCATCCCAGAAAGGAATTGATCAACGGCGGAGACTTCGTCTTTCACTCTTCTAAGTGGTGGTTTCCATAGCCCATAAACTTTTCCAAGCGCCACTTCCATTCTCGAAGCCTTGGAAGTTTTCAATCAGCCCCGATATTCGCTGAAAAACTAAAACTTCTCTTTATAAAAAGTTTTGACGGAAATTCCCGCGCGCAAGTGAAGAAATGGTTGAAGGATGACTAGAAGTGAGTGCCGTGGGCTTTTTGCTGATTTTCGATTCCTCTTCTCAACAACGGCGGGTTTTGCCCTATCAGAAAAAGGGTACCTCTACTTTTTGTCGTTGTCAACACCCGAGTATCCAAGAGTTGTTGACGACGACCGAGCTAAGTTCAGGACTCGTTTGCTGTCAGTTGCTTTTATGCTTTCCTTTGGGAGTTAGCGCTATTCGGAACGAGGCACTTCACATTATTCGATCACATGCATAAAATCACATCGGAATAGGGCTTCTAGGTCCTTTCTAGTTAAGCTAAAGGTCAAGGAGTAGCTAGAGAGTTCAAACACACCCCTCAAGACCTCGTCAACGCATGAGTAATTCGGTTTCGGGGAGAGTAGATCCTTTGTAAGCTCCAGTAAACCCCTGCAAACCTACGAAACGTCGCGAGTTTTTATTTTCGAACCTTTCTTACCCAACTTGACCTATCCAGGAGTTCCGTCCTCTATAGGCCAAAACTTCATCCCCTGGTTCATAGTCATTCCTCCGTACTTCCTGTGATAATACCAAATGCCGTATGATGTAAGAAAAAGCAAAGAAATAGCGTGGCAGTGCACTTTGTACCATAGCGTAGCTTTATAGAAGCTCCCAGATTCGTGAATTTGCCCAGCACGTTAAATGGAAGCGGCACGATAAATCAGCAAGGCGTACAGGGTTGATCCGACTAGCACGAAAGAATACTGTGCCTTCAAAAGGCGATGCATAGCGTCTCTTCCAACTGAGGCCCAACCGAGGTGCAACATGCCGATCCACACGCCCACCCAACTGCCCGCCCACAGATGGACAGACGGAGAGTCACATCGGCGCTGGCACTATTATCGCTTCATTTATGAAGTACAAGTAATGTGAAGTGCTGCTACATGGATATATGAGGACATACATGCTGCCGTTTCTATCAAAGCGGTTGTTGGCATGATGCCAACGGAAAACTCGTCCGGAAAAGCTCGTCCTATTTCGTACAAAACAAACATTTTGGCCGTCCGACACTTCGTTTTTTCGGCATATTCCTCCTATATAGCACCCTGCTACCATTTTTGAGCAAGCAAATTATCGTGCCTTTGACTTTAACGGGAGTCAGCTGAATATCTTCCCCCGTCAAATTCCCTATGTTAACGAGAGTTTCCTTTCTTCCAGTGCTGTGTGCTTTCAAAAAGTGAGTGAAGTTAGTTGTTATTGGAGTTGTCTAAAGTGAACGGCCGGCCGTCGCCGTTATGTTTACCGCCGCGATTGCGGTAAATCTGTGGGCACTTAATCGCTATGAAATCGCTCCGACAAATCACGTCCACGATCGTATTTTTCTTTCATCCGTTACGATCTTATGGGTGGGCAAATCTTACTGAACATTCAGATCTTCACATCTAATAACTGGGTGGAGTTGAATTCTGGTAAAGTACCTAAAGATCTTGTAATGACTCCTGGATAAGAGTACCGCAAATAGCCGTCATAGCTGCTTACTTTTCAACGAATGGGAACCGTTTAATAAAAAAGCCCAAATACTGGGTGGTCGATAACTAAGGGCGCAGGTGGGTTGCGGGAGTGAATGAGTTTGAGTGAAGTGAGTGGATTTCATAGTGCAAAACTACAATTCCTTGATATGTGCTACTGCTTTATTGTTCTTTTTGCCCCCTTTCTGCTGATCTGCAACTATTTTGCATTCGTTTCACAAGTAAAAATCAATTTCAATCGAGGAGTAGTCGAAACTTCCCGGAGCATTTTAGGGTGCCGATCAATAAACAAAAGTCTGGACTTTCCAGAGTGATATGAAATTCTTACCAGTCTGGTATTAATTGGCCACCTAGATGCAACTCCCAGGATGGTTGAGGGGTGGGGAGGGTCCTCGCAGAGTCTTCGGCTGAGAATGAGCCATTTCATGAGCCTTTATTGGAGGACCTAACCGTCATCGGCGAGGCTCTCCATTGCTGCATTTGAAGGAGGTTTACGTGAATAATTGGACTTTGGTGCTTGGTCCTGTTGCGAAACCCTGTAGCGCGAACAGCCAGATGACAGCGGTTGCCAAAGCATCGAAAAATGCAGGCTGGGGGAAAACATTTTCTCAAGGGAATGAGGGGTCTGCAAGGTGGGTGAACCAGTTATCATGCTTGACAAGCTGCACTGAATGGGACAGCAGTGGTGACGGAACTATAGACGAGAGACTGCAGAGAAAAACAGAAAATTGACACGGGCAAAGGAATAGAGCTCAAGGTTCCCGTAGACCAACAATGGAGGAGGAAAGGTTGTGACCCACCACTAATCTGCTCATTACGGAATGTGTCGTTAGGTAAGGAGCGAGATTTTACAAACTCCAGTGAATACTTAGTATGACCGGTTTTTTTTTGAGTAGCGATTTTGGAATGATCGCATGCAGAAAAGTACAGAATATATTTGAATAAATCGTGCTATTTCAGGCGTATCCAAAATTGAATATCACGAATATTGTTGAATATTCGCATGAAGTGGCCATCGAAAAATGGTGTCGTGAAGAAGGAAAACCATGTAAATGGACTCATACCGTTCGACCGTATCAATGTATCGGTAAGTAAAATTCAAATTAGTTTTTCGTATCTCTGTTCAAGAGAGGAATTATCTTTTTCTGCTGACTACTGTTCGCTATTGAATGTTTGATCGAACGGGCAAAACGTACAGTTTTTTTTCTGCAGCGTTGTGATTCAGATGTTTGCTGTGGGAAGCGGGCGAGACCGGAATCAGGGGCCGAATCATACAGAAATAAGAATTGCATTCATGAAGAGAACGTTACGCTGACGGAGGTTTCAATTTACGCACGACAAAGGGGCGCCAAGAAAGAATCAGAAGTTATTGTAGTATTATGAAGGGAGGAATTTTGCCTACTGACGTCTTCCTCCCTAAAGTACATGGAGTTTTGTTCCCGAACATCCATTTATTAGACAAGGTGAATTAGAATTAGAAAATTAGGAAATGTAAGCTTCCTCAAAGTTTTGCCTTTCGGCTCTCGCTTTTCGCTCAGATGAAAATGTAGAGGGATCTAATCAGAGCACGATTTCTGTAAAATTCCTCTTGACTATATGTTTTGGCGGCTTTTTTTGCCAATCTTCGCGAAGCGCCCGCCGCACTTATCTTGCACACTGCGGACCCTCACCCCTAGATAACTCCACCCTTTTTTGCAGCGATACAATTTACACTCACATTAATAGGTAATAGATAATAGATAGGGCAAGGGTTCAAAATATAGCGCTTGGCAGGGCACGTCCGGCCGTTGGGGAAAACATTTGCACACGACCTCCTCAAACTTTTCTCTCCTAGGACCCTTCCCATCCCTCATGCTACCTGATATCCTCCCGAAATTCTGCCAAACTCATATTACTTTTGCGGTGGTTCTTACGAGAACACTCCGTTTTTTCCTAGTAAAAAAAAACTCGTCCACGAACAGGGGGGGGGGAGCTGTGCAGCATACTTGAGACAAACAGACTGTATCAGGAAAAGCAAAAAAGGTAAGCAGCTAAAAACAGTTTTTTTGAGGGCAAATACGACATCTTCGTTCCTCCCTTCCTCCCTCCCTCCCTTCCTCCCTTCAGCGAGGAGGTACGGCCTGTTTCGCTGGGGGTCCCCTAGGTACGACGTGCCTTGGAGCTTGGGAACTGCACGAATAGCTGCGGTAGTACCTTGCACTGTGCAGCGTTTCGCCATAGCGTTTACTGACTTCTCTTTACTACGAGTTTTGTTTGAACAGTGTAGATTTCACTTTCAATAGGTTTGGCTTCCCGCTGAAGTGCAACAGGTTTCGGCTTTCTATAGGTTGCGAGGTCTCAAAAAATGCTGCGGTCTCAACCGCTCTTACCACGTGGGTTGTAGTCAGTGGAGTAGTACATCGTGCCCCATGCATATTATGTAGGTGGAAAATCAGGGGTAAGGAAGCGGGGATAGTTGGAAGCAGGACAGGTCCCGCTTTTGGAGAAAATTTATGCGAAAAATGACCCCCTTAGAATTTCCTCCTCTAGTACGACCCCTTTGCCGTTCACCTACATTTTTCTGAATTCTTCCAACTTCCCTCCACATCTCTGCAGTTTTTTCTTCAAAAATTCCCCTACTTTCCCTGAAGAAATATTGTCAGCGGGAGCGAGTGGGGGGGGGGGGGGAGGGGGAGGGGTAATATAGCAAATTTAAAACTGGAGATGAGAAAAGTCAACAACTGAGAGCATTCTTCTCAAAGACAACTGCGACCCCTCCATGACCAAACAAGGCCTCCTCGCTGGCGATTCCCAAAGTAGGACGTGCCCTTATTGAAGGCTATGTAAGAGCAGCTGATTAGAGTATTTTTGGAGTCTGAGCAGTACAGTCTGACTTCCCTATTAATATGGGTATTAGGGCACAGGTCACATTACCGTAGCTGATTTCATATTAGGTGATCGCATTTAGTCGCCGGGAGTGCTGGGTATATGGGTTTCTGGGAGTGTTCGGCATTAATGGAAATGAGTGTGGGAATTGTTGAGGGAAACTGGAGATTTTCGGTTTTTACGGTTTCGGGTGGAGTGTTCCACCCTCCCTTCGCCCCCCGCTGGGTGAAAAGGGAAATGAGGGAGGAGAGGTGGCGGAGATGGTGAGTTGGGGGTCGTATTGTCCTGCATTGTGGAAAAAGAAGTATACTCAGTACTGCAGGAATATAGTACAGTCCGAAGAAACTGCCTTTGCAGGAACTTGTTTGTTCTGCTGGGAATGTGAAATCGAAAGTGCAGCTTGGTTTGGGACTATTCTGTAAATGTTTATAGCGATGATTCCTTTTGCCGTTTCTACTTTATAGTAATCGTTGTGTTCGCTCGGCCCCTTAATGGTATTTGTTACGCATGCATTAGCAATTCAAATGTGAAAACGAAAGAGTTTTTAGAGCATTTTGTGCCCTTTTACTATAGCTCCTCAGGAAGAGTAGTACGTTCAGTACTGCCGCTTTAAGATGTACTATATACACTTCCTCAACGCAGCTGGCGTTGAAGATATGTTCCGTGAAATCGATATATTTCCCTCCGGTGAATCCTAGCGTCTGAAAGGATTAAGGTATTGCGATAGCGCACGGCTAGACGAACCTTCGGGTGTTTTTGACAGCCGCTATTGCCGCTGCTTACTGGTTGGAGTATGTCACTCGTTCTAAAGGGTGCGAATGACTTGTTAAACAAAACTGCAATTGGAAATCATGAAGAAGTAGGCATTTAGAAGTTTAGAAAGTGGGACCGGACCCTCTTAGGTTCCGCGAAAGGTCCAGTGCTGCCTGTTTTACATCATAGTACATTTTCAGCGCTCTTTGTCTTTTCTGCCTACTTTTTGAAAGTCACTTTCCTGGCTTTTTCTCAAGGAGTACACTCAGCTGAACATCAGTCCATGAGAGTTGTTCGATTCGAACACGAATACACTTCATCTCACTAAGATGGGTAGGGCGTAGCCGCGTACTTCATTTCGATGTGGCAGCGAAGCGCTTTTAAGAGGATATTTTTTGACAATTCATTTCATGTCTCAGCCCGGCTCAGGACAGTCAATTATCTCGTTAGTTGTTATGAAAAATACGTGCAATGCTATGTTCAAAGTAGTACGCTACCACGCCCTCTGCATCTCCGTGATATGGACGGTATCAACTTGGGCGGTAAAGTGTAAATAACGCCATATTGTCTACAGACTACAAGAGAGTTCCCAGATGCCCAAAGAACATGTCTTATATGGACCAGCAGAAAGGCACAGGAAAAATAACAGAACACTCATGATTTGAAAGAAGAACTTGAAAAAAGCTATTTGCTGGGTCAAACCCTTTTGGCGGTCCTTTAATCATGTTGCGCAATCACCGCTGTGCCACAGGATTACCTTGCAGGCCACGCTGCTTGTACAGAATGTGCATCGTTTATGATCAGATTAGGGCAGGAATGGCAAATGGAATGAACTTTTGGCCACTCGTTCGCATTGTCCGATGACCAGATTTCAATGGGCCCTTTGGATCAGGGTACAGCATCGTTGGAGGAATCCCATCGGGGGTCGTAGTTAGTCGCTGTGGAGGAGGTCTTTCCAACCTTAAAAGGAGTTTTCGAAGAGAAGCTGATAAAACGGCAGGTACGATGGGAGAGAGGGGTCGTATCGAAGGAGCAAATTTTGTGTGGTCGTACCGACACCGCCATTTCACCCGTTCCAATGGTGCGCTCTGTTTCGATTGCTCCATAACTGTTTATCGCTACCAACTGGTATAAAAAGTCGGTGGCTCTGCCGAAGTCGTTGGGACACGCACTGCATATGCTAAAGATGTGGGGGGGGGTGTACCTCCGTGCTCCATTTGGACACGGCATAGGATACATATTCCTGGATCACTTGTCTTGGAAACAACTGTCATCCTGTCTTGCATTTGACAGTGACATGAATACCTTAATCCTAAGATGGCAGTACCACCCAAAACCGCCCAGTTTCGTGGTGTACGCGGCCACGCCCACTCCATCTACGGGATATGTAGTGTATGGGGTGCTTCGAGACTTCCAAAGATTCACGGCGGAATTAGAGCGCATGGCGCATCACAGATCTGCTAGCAGCTCGTGCAGGGACCACTGACATTCGTTGAGGTTAATTATTTCAATAAAGAAAAAAGACACTTAGCAGATGGTGAGTTCAAGTCGGAAGCGCTACAAGTTCCACACGATTGTCGCTTCTCTCATGTGAACTCTGGTGAGTCCTGCACGATTACCAACATTGGCGTGACGAGGCAGCAAAACAGTGCTCAATAAAGTATGGTGATTATTCACTATTATGGTATTATGACTCATAACCAATAATCGTTCGCATTTCAGACCTTCAATGGGAAACCGATGACTGTTCGCTTCGTTCGCTGTACTTGAACCATGCAGTCTCGATCTTTTCACTGGTGTTGAATTTTGTGTGCTGCCCGGCAATCGGTGCGTAATTGCCTCCAGTTTGCTATTGCTAAACAGGGATACAATTTGTGGCCACTTGTACCCCTTTGATGGCCGAAACCTCTGGAAAGCCGGGTCACGAGCAAGCTTTAAAAGGGCTTAGCCTGGTGGCGAAATAATATTATCAGCGGAAAAGTACCTGGGTTTTGAGAAGCGAGGAGGTGTGCGCTTGAACGCATTTCGGTAAACATCTGGGCACATTTTCATCTCTAAATGCAAAAGTGCAAGTTGAAAGGGGGTGTGGCCGAAAAAGAGGGCTTGGTGGAAACAGTGGCGGGGGAGTATGGAACTGAGGAATATTTTACCAGGCACTCTTCTTTGCCTGCAAAACTTCATAAATATGTGCCGGGGACTAATGAAGGAATTACCAGGAGGGAGGAGGGGATCCAGATTCAAAAATATGACGTTAAAATTTTAGACAAGATTACGACCCCAGTCGTTGGTGCTCGAACAGTCGAGAAAGCGAATAAGTTGCCTAAAGACGAGGATGATGATGACGATTACGATGAGGAATACGATGACAGTGAAGAGGGTAATCAAGCCACAAGCTACATTTTCTCACACAACACCAGTTGCTCAGAGAGTAATGTTGTTGTTTTCAGAGTCCGATGAGAAATCGTCCGAGGGTCAGGATCCTTACTTCAAGAACAAGGATCCCGCTAATGAACACGAAAACTTCAAGGATGCTGAAGATCGACTTGATAAGAAGCATCGCGAGAAGATTGAGAAGGTGAGTATGTAGCTGTCAGTGAAGTAAAAACATTGAGCGCTGTGTGTATGGATTTCAATGCACCTCTCCTGGATTGGTGTTCTTAGACAATGGCGCCTATATGCGGTGTTCCTGTCAAGAAGACGGAGGTACTGCTTCATTGCAGTTCCGTTTTTCATGGCTTAAAACCAGCTGGTCTCGCCTCGCCCCCCCCCCATCCCTTGCGTTTAGTGTGCTAAAAGATCTTTTAATCGGTATGATGTCATATTTGTTTTATTTTGGTGCTGATCCGTCATCAGGGTGAAAGTAAGTGGAGAGTGGCCCCAAACCGCACCTCCTTGGCGCAGTGAATGATGTGAAATGCCCACTAATGAGGACCCTGGATAGCCCGTCAGTACGCCCTACGTGACGTCTCGCTTTGATTTGTGGGTCCTGGGTTTCGTAACCTCACTGCGTTTAGCTGTTTTGCAGTCTATCAGGAAGGACTTCTCTAACTTTTCATGGAATCGGCTCAATTTCGTCACAGAAGGGTTGACATGCCGAAATCCGAACAAAAAAAGCAAACTTAATCATGTTCCGAGACCTTGAGGACTTTGTCCTTCGCGTTGTGCAGAAAAAAAATCTTCCCGTCCTCCTGTTTGGCATGAATTTATGTAGAAAAGCGCACATATCAATATTATCTTCCTATATTCCCTCAAAAATATTTCTTGTTCATTTTACAGGTCATGAAGGAATGGGGAGAACTGGAAGCACGTTATCAGCAGATGAAGACAAAAGATGCCAAAGGCGCCGAGTCCTTCAAAGTATCGATGACAAATCGTTTCCAGAAGGTTCGATTCAGTGAAATATGTTGTTCAAAGATTGGGACAACGAATATTTTTTTGTGTCTGTATTTTGGTGGCAATATTTTCACGCGCGTGGGAGCTATTGACGTTTCCATAGCCCTGTTATCATTTGGCCTTTGTCGCCAGTTTTTGTGCCATTTCCGCCGGAAAGCCAAATGATCAGTGTGATGTTGTAGGTGCCCTCAAATTATTTTTGAACATGCCCTCGAAATATTTTTGAACATTTATTATCAGCTTCCATTATCACTACTAAATACATTGTTATTTGGTCTTTCTAATTATCCTTCATTATAGACCGTTGCTTCATTAGAAGATGAGCACAAACGACTAAAGAAGCAGCTTGAGGCCACCCATGAAGAACGTGTGCAGGCTATTCTCAATGAGAAGAAGAGAACTGTAAGTATACTGTACATCTGTACATTCTGTAGTGTGGAATTTCTTATTCTTTCATGTTCCAGGCCACCCATGAATATCGCCAAGCACTTGCTATGCATGACAAATCGGCTAACAAACATCACGTGCTGAAAACGCTCAAGGTCTGTGATAGTTCTGGACCGCTACACATGGGAGGGGAGGGGCAAGAAAATATTCTGCTCATGGAACGGCCAGTAGAAACCTAACGACATACTTCGCGATTGAATATTGAGAGTACTGTCCCTAAGTCGCTAAATGACTCTTCAGGAAAGAAAAAAATCGACAAAAAACTCGAACACCCAAAGTAAGGAGGTCCTGGCTGCCTCAGTGTACCAGTTTTCCGGACCTGCTCGTTTTACGCCAGAGAGGCGATATCCTGCCGCCTGGTTCACTAATCATTTCTTTGCGCCATTGAATGCTAATACCATCCAATAGTGAAAAAAAACGAAAAACATGGTGTAAAATGAACATGTGGTGAAAATAGCCCTTGAATTTCGGTGGGGGGGGGCAACTAGAGAGGCGTCAGAACTACAACTTATGGGGACCGCGGCGAGTCCTTTGCTTACTGTAAAGCCGCTGAGAGACTGAGGACCAGACTGCTGTACAGGAACACTCCTAGTTCTTTGAGCCTGCCTTTAGGAACGGGAAAAATGGATCGGGTGTGGCTACGAACTTCGCGCGTCTTCATCCTACGTGCCGGGGATCCCAAGACGCTTGGTAACTCGTAGGTCGATTCATGATTCAGTACTCCTTACAAACCTGCACGCAAGCGACTCGACTAATGGAGCTGTGCAGCTGCTTCAAGTTGACGCAGATACTGCAGGCCTAGTTGAGCGCGGCGGCAAAAACGGGACGGCTTCATCTTCTTGAAGTCGAGACAATGGTGGCAGGCAGTTCTCACCCAAGGCACGTCATACATTGGAGTTCCCAGCTAGGGGTGTCGCATTTAATCGGTGGAGGGAGGAGGGCGTTGGTGACATTTGCCTATTAGATAAATATCTTCGGAAAATAAGGAAATTGAGAAAATTTCGAAAGATGGTAGGCAGGCTGGTAAGATGGTGAATAGGGAGGGGGATCGTATTTTGCCAAAAAATTCCTCCTCGGCAAGATGTGCCCTGACTACCACTCAACATGGATATTTGGAGCTTTCCAACGTGTCACCGTGTGGACGTAAACTTTCGTGATCGCGCTGTGAGCGGAGTATTTTTGGTTCCCCCCCCCCCTTCGTCGACAGAATTTCTATTATTGGCAACTATTTCATGCTCTATTTCTCTAAAGAATCGAGTCTGAACCAGCTTCATATATTTGTCCTTTCAGACCTATATCCGATCGGAGGAGAAGGATCGTATTCACACCATCAACCGATACCGTCATCTTCTTCGTGTCGATCAAGCGGAAGCTGCTGCCTTTAAGCCTACGGTACTTCACAGGCTCAGGTACGTGATTGTGGATTCCCTCTGTTGTGATGAAAAACGAGGGATAAGAAATAGCTACTGGGGCATTTCAGATATATCGATCTGCGTATCAACGGAACCCTGGCCATGCTACGCGACTTCCCTGATCTCGAGAGTCAAGTGCGTCCGATTGCAGGTAAGGCTACCCTTCCATATGTTATCTTTCTCCTTTGGTCAACGTTTCGAGGTATGATTCGTGTTCAGTACTGGGTAGTTTTTCTAGTGAAGATATGGAGGTGGGGGAGGGAGGAGTCAATCCACCAAAGAGACTTCGGGTGTTCATACCGCGCCAGTTTAATGGCTGACTGGCGGGCATCCACATACGTAGAAGTGCAGTCTTACCAGCAAACGATAGGGTGTCTACGGGGACATGGCCTTGAGCGCAGCCAAATCAGTCTTCCCAGCAGTCGCAGCGGGGCTGAGGATGCCGTCATTGGTCGAAAAAGGGCGCTATGGCTTCGCTCCAATACGCGCCGCGTCACACACCCTATCTTTGCAGGGGTCATGAATGTACTCACACAACAGCGCGAAATAAGGTCTCGAAGTTACCAGAAAACAGCCAAAAAGGGTTCTCTGAGAGTAACAAATCCGACTCTTCATATAGGTAGCTCATTTTTCCAATTCCAAGTTCCTTGTCCTCTGAGGGTCTTAGTTTTATAGGGTGGAAAGATAAGCTGACAGCTACAGAGCATTGACGTCTTTGAGTAGGGATAGAATTTCTCAAGTAGTCCTCAAAGTACCCTTCAGGGACAACTTTTCCCAATTTGTATGGGACTAGACGCAAAAGAAAACCGATGGAGCTGCGTCATTTGCCCTGCACCTCAAAGCCCGCACCGTTTTGGGATATGAACCTGGTTCCGAATGACTAAATGACTTCGATTACTTACGGTCTGTTCTTTGGATTGTGAGGTTTTGACTCAATTTCCCTAATCGTTTAGTAATAACACATCGTTGTGCACGCTTGATAGCGTCTAAGCGACGGACGAGCTCCATTTCTATTTCCGGTTGTCAGCCCTTTCTCTCGGCGTTCTTATTTCCGATTTTCCCTAATCTTATTTCAAGCTGCGTTCGTTGATTAGTAGTATTTTCTATGGATCACATGCTGAGGGGAGGCTGAACCAGTCGGACCCCTTCAGTTACTCTTCATCCTTATAGCGCTCAGTTGTATCTTAAACGACTTCTAGTCAATATAAACGATCCTGGGCAAACCTTACCCTGACAGAGTAGGAATTAAGAGAAAAAGAGCAGTAAACGTTGAATTTTTTTGATACCCTTTTCATTTATCCACCGTGTACAGTTGTTCATTTGATGGTTCCATAAATAATAACGAGGGTAAAACGCGACCTAGCCTGGGTGCTAACTTACGGGAGTGTGAGGGGAGGGGATGGGTAATCCACCCATCACCTCGATGTCCCTTTCATAGTCAGGCTTGAGCTTAAAGTGCAGACGGTCAGAGTCGTCGTTGGCTACTTCCGCAGTATAAATAGTCCCTAGGCGTCCCCTGTCTGACCGACTGTGCTCCAAGTCTAAGCCATGATTAGGGGAAAGGCACAGAGGCGCTGTTGGGTGCTTTCCCAATCGCTCCATATACAGGACACAGCGTTGTTGTGAGAATCCCATCGTGGGTGTGCTTGACCCAGAGGGAGAGGTGTTTCCGAGCCACTCTGAATTTTTACTGGTTTTCCTGTCCCATGTGCACTGTGCCCTATCCCCTCCACGCGATTTTTTTGCAAAAAGAACTGGTTGAATATCCAGAAATTTTGCAGTGAGTTGGAATTGGTAAGGTGTAGGTAGGTTGATAATGTAGTGGGTGGGTTTTGAGAAGAGGGTCGTGCTGGTAGAGGAGATTACGGGGGAGGGGAGGTCGTTCTGACACCGTCATCTCACCCATTCCTAGGTTTAACGCTGGTCTCAGGACGTGCGCGTTGTGGATAGAGCTGTCTGGTATATCGCAGTTGGAAAAAAATAGAAACTTGAATTATTAGGATAAGCTGAGTGCCTTTCGAATGTGCTTTGTTCACTGCATGTGAAGGGCTATTATGTAACTAAACGCTGGAACATTTCCCAGTCAACCGATTTCTTTTCCGAGTATTTATAAAAATATGATTTTATTGTGTTTCAGTAGCATACTGGTCTGATTTCCGCCGTGAAAACACGCCTGAACTATCCGATAGTGCCATTGATGCTCTCAATTCACTGGATAGTGACGCAAAGAACAAGAAATTGGTGGATCTATACAAGGTACTGAGAGTTCTTGTACAGTAAAATGCTGTGAATCTAACAAAGTATGTAAGTAAAAATTACTTAAGGAAGCATATGAGAAGCTTCACCCGAATGCTAAGCTGGATGTGAAAGCACCTCCAACGACTACTGTAACCACTACAACAACCACGCAGAAGACTACACAGGAGCCGGCTAAGGTGATTTTGCTGAAAATCTTATAGGAAAAGGGTTGGACTGGTTAGGTGCAAAAACTGTGAAACCGTGCACTATACGAGGCTCCCTACGGCCTTAAACACTGCCAGTTTTCCTCAGATCGTGGTAATTTTAGAGTTTACCAACTTCAAGGTGAATCAGCAACATTAGTGACAACAGCATTGTCCACGGTTCTGAGAAGGGCTCAGATACAGTCTTGTTCACTGTGTACGCTGGACGTGTTAGGAGGGGAGGGTTGAGCTCGGGCCAGCTCTGTTTTCCACCAATCGTGGTCGCCTTCCAGTTCTACAATTAGTGGAGAGCGGGCTGGCACCGTTCCATTCTGACACGCTCCAGCGTCCGCTGCGAACAAGGCTGTACGCGCACCTGATTCCCCGGACATAGTGTACTTTCCTAGTTGGGCGAAGACTGCCAAAATTTTCAAGGGCGATGCTAGTTATTTTCCAGGAGGATCATTGCGCGATAGGGCGTACAAAGCTGGAAGGGTGAATTGGAGGGGAGCAAGAACAGCCGTTCTCGCGAAATGCTCTGGACTCAGGATAGCACCACTGGTCGAGAAGTCCGCCTTGGCAGCGTTCCAATCCGCCCATTACACTCCTATCGATTGCCAAGATCATGGCCGTATGTGAATGCATACTGTAAACAAGCGGTTTGTTTAGCTTCTGTCTGAGGACTCTCATGATTCCGAGGAAGATGACGATGAATACTACGAAGACGAGGATGACGAAGAGGTCAAGAAGAATCCTACAGTGAAAAAGCCAAAGGTAAGCCCGCTTCCGAAGTGGTTTCTAAAGGTTGCTGAAGCCATTTTTTTTCAGGTGATTCGAAATTCTGAGAAAAAGAAGAAGTGAAGAAGCCTGAACCACCAAAACTTGTTGAGAAATCTGTACAAACTGGATCCTGCTCCATTGTGGAGGACTGACTCCAACTCGGATGAAAGCGATGAGGTGACGTTGACGTTCTTTGTCCTTTGTTTCCTCCACTTCAGTGCTGTATACTTCACTGAAGACAGTTCTTCAGGAATCCATCAAAGAACTCCGCGTCGATATTGAACCGATCATTGAGGAAAAGCCAGCATTCTACCGTCAAGAGAAACTCGTTCAAACACAGGTTCGTATCGATCAAGTATTTGCCATATGCCTTTCAGTTTTTGGAACAGAGCCAGCGCTACCCATCCATTCTCAAAATTTCAAAACATGAACAAATCGTGAAGTCGATGCACATCTTCCCATGGGTCACATTAGCCCCTGTGTTATTCAACTATTGCTTTCGTCAAAACTTGTAGCGCAGAAAGTGATTTGTTTTCCAGTGCAAAACAATCTGTTATTTTGCTAAAGGAGCTGGAACATAAGGCTTTACCTCATGCTCGTCCTGTGGCCGACTAAGGTATGTCGCAGCGGGGACGAAAGCTCCCCTCATGAGTGAGAAACTGCCTTTTCGGCATAAGTAAAGGCCTGAAACCTAGCTCCATAAGAAGCGCCCGGTGTTCCTGCAACTGTTTAGGCAGGGTACAGATGACATTTCCCAAGTGGGCACTGTCTTATGGACCGTATCCACTTGGGAAAGGTTTCTCTGCTTTTGCTGAGGATTTTCTACCAAAGCGGACAATAGGTGCACCCAAAGAGAAGGGCTCCAGTCACGTGTGATGGAGCTTTATGGGTCTATCGAATAGCACACGAACTCAGAACAGCCTTTATGATCAGGATGTGGGAAGTATTTCCTGAAAACGGCCCTCTGTCCCTACCTTCTCCAAAATGCACATCCGTCATTGTAGGACTGATGATGAAACAAACTGCTAACCTGCCTAGTTCGATTCCGTCCCCATGTGTATCCCACAACAACTACAGTCCATGTCCCGGAGATGAAGAGGGCGTGCTCCTTAATTCATTCAGACGTGGCGGCTGCTGCGCTTCTGCTGCGATATTGCCGTTGTGGGATAGCTGTAAATATGCGTTTCTCCCACAGATAACAAGAAGGAAGTTGGCCGGAATGAAAAATCCTACGGAAAACGCGTCTTAGCCCGTTGGGTCGAAGTATTCATCGACGCCCTACTCATCATTGCTATGAAGTGTGAGGCCTTGTTCCCTGCGGATACTGAAAAGTGTCATGGACTGGGCTTGGCGACAGTCAGCCTGTTCACTGCCCATTGTGAAAGCTAGCAAGCAACCACAATTGGTGGGGACAAGCTAGCGCCGCGCCAAACTCAGCCCTCCACACATGTCCCAGCATCCGCGGCGAACAAGCCTATCCGCTGACTCAGAACTTCCTGTCCGACCGCCTTGAGTTATTCCTATAGAGCAGAATAGAGGAAAGGTGATTTATATGGCCCTGATATAACTCTGATTTTTCGGCCGTTTCAGGTCATGGCTAGTGCGGAAGGGTCTATAGCATAAGAGACGGTATTTCGTGTCCTCCTGTCGCCTAATACGGATGCATTATATCAATTCTTTGCTCAATCGCGCTTTTCAGAAGTCGTCGTACCAGGAAAGCGGTCTGCTGTCATCCTCACAGGCGGTGTTCATCGTGGGAATGGTGGCACTTGTCTCGCTGACAATGTTGGTCGCTACTATTGTTCGACGCCGACGAGCGCACCACGGGTTCATCGAGGTCAGTTCTTTCAGATTCAGCTATCATCTACACTCTAGTCCGATTTTTGCATCGAATTCTGCAGAACACGAGGCCATTTAGTGCAGTGGGCTGACGGGGTGGGGTGGGGGTGGGGGAAGTTATAGTTAAAGTTCTCTAATCCAGACTGTTCTATCAGGAATTATTCTTATTATGATAATGAACAGTGAAGGACAAGGGCGGGACTTTCGCCATAGATCAGTCCTTTCTAATCTAAGACCGGAGAGTTCGCCGAGTTCAAAGGCCGTAGAGTAGAACGCGGCATGGGATCCTGCCAATCCGGGACCTCATCCCCGCTCCCTGATAGTTACTCCGCCCACGATGAAGTAATGTATAATAATGTGCAATATCAGGTCGATGTCTACACTCCTGAAGAACGTCACGTGGCTGGTATGCAGGTGAATGGCTACGAGAATCCGACGTATTCATTCTTCGATAGCAAGGCTTGAACTCTTCTGAAGAAAAACAGCTACTGTATGATGATTTGCACAACATCTCTCATATTATTTCTCTTACATAAACGAGCATTCCCCTCTCTATTTGAGTGCATCCCCTCTCTCCCCGGTCTTTTTTATTTTCTCATCACGTCCTCCTCATGTCCACACCTGCTCTACGACGTGTGCTATAAGAAAAAAACGTCGTCTGATGAAGACGATGACCATTTACCGATTTTTGCTCGTCGTCCATCTTAATCCGTATGATCGTGTGATTGTTGTCTGGACCATGGTCGTCATTCGTTTCACTGTCAAATCTTCAATCTCTCTATTATACTAAATAATCTCTTTATTCCCCAACCCTTCCCCCACTCATGTGGTACAACCACGATGTCATACTGGTTCGCGACAGAATTGTACGTCGTACATTCACTAGGATCAGAAAGTTGAATCCTCTCCTTACAACCATACTCCACATTCACACACACACGTACGCTCCATATCACGGAAGAGCGGAGGGCGTGGCTGCGGATTCTATTTGAGCATGGCGGCAGATGCGCTTTTGGCGGGATGTTGCCGTTCTGTGACAAGTGAAGTCATGCCTTTGTACAGTAGAAGGTAAGGTGACCTGTTTCAAACAGACATCTCACAAACAGCGCATCCACCGTCATGTTCAGATGAATTACACAGTCACGCCCTTTCCATCTCCGAGATACAGAGTGCAGAAACATTCAATTCGGAAACAAAAGTGTCGCGGTCATACTTGTACAGTCAAAGAGATCAAAGTAATAATAGTGGTATTGTGTGTGTGTTGTGCTACCTACTAACAATTCTTAACTTTTGAAAGCAGAAAAATGTTGTGATGTTCTGAAGTTACTAAATCGAAAGTTCATGTTCATGTTACACGTTTGTTGCGATGCTAGCGTTAAGCCGATTGTAACACGATGTAACATCAAGTGATATCTTTTGTGTCGTATATTAATGTGTTTTGTGTGTTTGATCGTCGTCCACGTCTACTATATGTATATGAAATATGTTCCTTTTTTAACTCTACTAATCATCACAATCCTCACTCCTTACACATACACATACAACAAAAATCCACTCAATTTTAGACATCGTTACTCTAATTATGTTAGGTAGCTTCTATTGTTCTTTATTTCACATTCGTACTAATTAGACACATTCAGCTTTGTGTTGTTCCGCCACAGAATGTAGCGATAAATGTTTTCCTTGTTTTGTTGTTTTGTTCAACTTTATATTCTTTGTCATCTTCCTAAAAATGCGAATATCCAGCTGGGAAGATGTAAACAGAATCCGTAGACATGAAGACTTCTTAAGTACTAGAAGCAACAAGGAGAACCTAAAGGCATAATACACGACAACTTGGGACACAAAAAACATAGGCGAAGAAGCTTCATAAAAGGAAAATGACGAAAAAGCGAAGTTAAACGGACAGAAACCTGCTAAGAAGCCTTTGTTCTGCAAGGCATTCGACGAGCACTTTTGGACGAGTTTCCCGCTGGCGTCGTGATAACAACCGCTTCGAGCACGGCTGCACGTCTTGTTCATATATCCATGTAGCAACGCTTGATATCAGTTGTACTTTATTAATGAAGCACCAAGTGTACCGGCCTCAATGCGACTGTACGTTCATTTGTGGGCTGATGGTTGTGCTGGGCATCTGGTTCGGCATGTTGTGCCTTGCATCTGCACTACAAAGGTATTCCTGGTTGCAGAAGACGCCACGAAGTGCCTGCTAGAAGATACAAAATTCTTTCTTGTTATCTGTATTGAGCCTTTACCCTTTTCGATTTATCGTACCACGTGCCCTTAAAAACACATTCCATGGTAATCGAATGGCTGGAGAATCATCGCCATTATTCCTCTAGCGAGGAGCTCACCGGTAGAGAAGGCATAATGCCCATCTGTCTCCGCCCGTCCCATTATCGCGGAATACTGTATCCTTCTGGAATTCGTTTTGGTAAGTGTAAAGTACACTGGTCACTGAGAACGGTGGCTGTCCGGAAAATTCTCTTTTAGACTGCGTTCTACCACCTTTTTGAGGACCGCAATGATGGGACTTGCCCATTCGACAAGTCAATAGACACGACTAGCAAGTGGACCCTGCCCATAGGTCGTGTGAGCAAGAATTATAAAGCACTCTAGTGTACAAGCGGCGTTAACGAGTCAAAAAACCCAAGTTTAAAAGAAATCCGACTCTATGTGAGTTACTTGGGGGAGGGCGCGCACCTAAGCCTACTCGTCTTCGCTATTTCACTGTAATAGCGATCCCTCCCCCCCCCCCTCGCCCGTTCTGCAATCGATGTTATGGTTGTGTTATCCACACGGGAAGAGGGGAGTAAGTTTCCGCTGTGGATGGGATTGTAAGAGGCCTGGCGAAAATTCTCTGATTACTTTACCAACATCTAGTGGAGCGGCGTTGATCCGCTCATGCCGCGGTGGACTTGGCCTCTGAGGACGACCATCTGCTCGAAACGTTAGGCCGTGAATAAAGTTCCACCTAAAAACCTCGTTGGCGCAGAAGTAATGGAACATCTCTGATTACTGCTGTCAGGCGGTGTTGAACATAAATTATCATAATAAAGCAACTTCAGCATTCCTTGATTGCTGGTTTTTGCTGTCTCAGGCTGGCTTTTTCTGAGGAGTAAGAAATCTGGTGTCGTTTAAAATAAAAGTCTCCAGATCTTCGTGATGTGCGGAGTGACCAGCTAACTCCTTCAGATTGTCAGACGATTAAAATTGACGCGGTCCGGAACAAAAGCTATGAGAAGTAATCCTGAGTAACGAGCGAGACCATCCATTAGAGAGTCTAGCCTGCCGAACTCCCCGCGCGCGGATTGCTCAATTTAGGGTCATATCAAAGGTCGTGGAATTCCAGCATCAAGGACAATTGGCTTGCTGCAGCCGTGAGTCCGCTTCCTGTTCTTTCAAAACTTCTACCTCCTCCCGCTGATTATACAGCATCGTGCAGTCTTGTCCACATGTGAATCCTGTGGCGTGTTCAGAGGGTGGATCCGGCGCGGCGCCAATCAAGTTTTCATCATTGTGGAAACGAGCAAGCGACAACACTTGGTAAAGAGGGTCTATCTCGCGCGCCAAATAGCTCGCGCCCTCCCAACACACCGTACCTGAAAAGGCATGGCCTTAGTGCAACGTCCATCATCTCGAGGGACAAATGGGTCATGATCATCACTAAGCACATCCAAGGATGTGAGTCTAATTGGCAGAAATCAGACCAGATGACGTTGGGAATTCATCTGCATTTGCGCGGTATAAGGCGCATTTTATCAGGCCGACACGACGAACGCGGCACGCAAGAGTTTTCTAGACACGCGAGGGGCTGCCACCAGAATTAAGGGGTTTCTTCAAGAAATCAGGTTCCTTCTATTGAACGCGACGTGTCACCGTTATTTCGGACTGAATTTGAGCTGTGAAGCTACGAGTGCAAACTCGTCGCCTTTCATATTAGGAATTTGGTAACTGTAAATTCTGAAATTCTAAATTCCTCAGTCTTCGAATTTTGATGGCCCTTCTATTCATTGTGATTCTATTTACAACGTCGTGAGGTGAGTCGTTTCGAGTTTCAGACTGATCGCTTGTTTTTTTTGGCCGCCGAGGACATGTTCATTCAAAAGAGACTTAAAATTTAATCTTGTTCGCTGGCACCAATGGAAGGGAGGCGCCGGGGAAGGCGTGTAAGAGAGCTGGGGTTGCCGCGCTGGCTAGCCTGTTCTCGGCTTAGTTGTTGAAGCGGGCACGCGACAGCACTTGTGGAAAATGACCGGATAGCGAACGATAGTATAAGTCGCTTGTTGGGGTTAAAAAAATCTACCGCCACGCTAAGCCAATCCCCCTTAACCGCATCTCGCAGCGAACAGGTCATTTAAGGGCAGTTGGCACGATAAATACCCCAAGACGAGCAGGATTAATACGCCCTGTTGGAAACGGAATTCTCGCCACCGACTGAAGCAGCTGCGCTGCATAATGTCTTTTCGCAAGAGAGGTGCCCTTATAGGGGAACTATCAAGCCACAAAATTCCAGCCCAAATGCCCCACGCCGCCCGCCTTACAAATGGCGTCCTCCTAGCATTAGGCTGAGCAGGAAATCTCGTGCACTGCCTATTTTGAGTGCACTTCCTGATCCTCGATGACAGCAAAAGTAAAGCTGGTTTACGGTATGGGGGCTGGCGTTTGCATTTTGCAGCAGCGCACCGTTAGCGTCCGAGCGTCCGTCAGCGTCAGCGACTGGAATAGTATACATGTCGATCTAGCGAAACAGCAGCGTCGCACACAGCGACCAGCAGCGTCCAAGGGGTGAAGAGTAGATAGAATGGTAGCAGGGAGCCTTCCTATGCGTCCCATGTTTTCTACTGTCTGACGTCCTCGCTATAATTCTCGCCATGCTGTCCCATATCTGCACGCGCTCTTCGCTGTGGATGCAGATAGATGCTGCTGGTCTGCTCCACACGATGCGATTCTATAGTGTTCCGCTGACACTGACGAACGCTCAGAAAGCGCGTGGGCGCTGCGCAAACAGGGTACAGCATCGTGATGATTGTGTAGTGGTGGTGTCAGTTTGACCTCCTGCCCTCGAAGAAAGGGCGCTTGTTAAACGGCCTCCCCGCTCCGCCTTCCCAACCTTTCTATTTCCCGCGCGAACTCCGCACCTACGATCCTCATGCCTCTCCGCAAACGAAACGAACAAGTGCGATACCCCCTCCCAGCTGCCAAATGACAACCCCCCCCTCATCGTTTCCCCAACGATGGCTGTACCTGCTCGCAAAGTATTGAAGTCGCAGGCTGAGTGTTCAACCAAGTAGCAGCTTCAGATGCTACATTATCGAGATATTTTACGCCATCAGACTGCGTGATCATTATAGAACGTTACCCGTTCACGGAAACAATACATAAGAAACGGACAGTGGCAAGCCACTTCACGGGCCAATATGAAATTTTCACATGCTCCTCCTATAACACGCCGAAGACAATCA